GGAGAAGACACTCTCAGAAGTCGGCCCACCACGCGCTGTGGCACAATGGCGAGCGATTACACTTACTCTTCTTGCGAGAAGAGAGCCATTCATGCAGCAGCGCGCTCAGGACACAGAAGCTGTCGTGCATGAGATCTACAGCACACTCTCGACGCTTCTTCCGCCACCATCGCATCTGCAGCGCCAGATCCAGGAGTCGTTGCGCAATGTCATGCGCTTGGCGGTGGAGCTATCAATTGAGATGCGTACTCAACGCGCAGAATACATCATGCTGCCGCCGCTACAACCTGAGTACGATACCAAGGGCGATCTCGTCGCCAAGGTGACTTTCAATGCCTCTCTCATGAACGAACGGTCAGGCGAGACGACGTCGAATGACGAACTACAAGCCCGTGGGTCGGTAGTCAAGATTGTACTGTTCCCCCTAGTTGTCAAGAAGGGCGATGACTTCGGCGAAGGCGAGGACGAGATTGTCGTCTGCCCAGCCCAGGTCCTGGTCGCTGGAACCAAGAGTAGGAAGGTAGTGAGGGTCATGAGTGGAGCGATGTCGATCAATCGTCCCGACTCACGAGCAAGCCGCATCAGTCGGGTAACGAGCGTTGCGCCCCCTGAGAGCACGATCATGGACTACGAGCAACCCGGTAGCAACATGATCTAGATCGACGGCCGTTTGGATTACGAATTTTTTTCATCTCACCTTGATAGCGTGGGCGGGATTTGTATTTGGCGTTTGGGATATCATATTACCACTTTACGAGATTTCCTTTGTTTTAGTATAGCAATATTTACATAGCATCACTTGGAGCGCGTTTAGCACGATTGTATATTAGTCACGACAGCACGAACGCTGTAATCAATAATCATTTCACGATCTTCACAGAAATCCCTTTCAATCCCTGCATCCCTTGCGATCTCTTGGCCAATCTCATTTGCACATGGCGACAGGGAAATCATGATGCGACAGCGCCAGATCCTCGGTTGTGGGCTCCATCAGGATTGCGCCAGCCTCGTTTTGGGGCAACCCCGCTCTCCCTGGTGGGCGTGGCACAGCTGCACGACGAAGGAGTACAACGGCCGGACCGTTTAAAGGGTCGCGACGCGCGAAATGTAAACCCTATCCGCCTGCTGCTAGTTGCGGCTTTCCACGCGCTATCCCGACCACTCTTTCCGACATCCAACCACCCAAGACACCGTCACGATGCCGATTCGAAGCGACTGGACCCTTGCGCGCGAAGGTAAGCACCGAGCCATTGCCGCCCCCAACCGTCGTAATGGCAATAGTTTCGAGTACGACGCTTTTCTAACTCCATGAACAGGCGTGACTGGCGATACTATCAGCCGCCTCATCAGGTACACGGCCTTCAACCCTGCCCTCACGCTGCCCCTCATCCTCTTTGCGCGCTACACGCACCAAGGCAACGCCCTCGCCGAAGACCATGCCACAGCATTCAAGGGCTTGAAGACGCTGCTGGGCTTGGGTGCGCTGAGTACCGTCAACGCCTGGCTTAACAGCGGCGTGACCAACAACTGGAGCAGCGATGCCTATGTGTGGAGTCGCGAGGTTGTCGTTGTAACCGGAGGCAGCGATGGCATTGGCAAGATCGTGGTCCAGCTGCTCGCCGAGAAGGGTATCAAGGTCGCGGTCCTAGACGTCCAGGACTTGACGTATGAGGGTATGTCTGCAATTGAGCGTCAATTGCCTCGAAGAGTTACTGACACTCACCAGCCCCATCATCCGTCCGCTTCTTCAAATGCGACCTCACCGACCCCGAGGCCATCGCCTCCGCCGCCTCATCCATCCGCTCCACACTCGGTAACCCCACGGTCCTGATCAACAACGCCGGAGTCGCACGCGGCAAAACCATCCTCGAGTCGACAGAGAAGGACATCAACCTGACCTTCAAGGTCAACGCCTTCAGCCACTACTACCTGACACAGCAGTTCCTGCCCGCCATGATCGCCGCCAACCACGGCATGATTGTCACCGTCGCCTCCGTAGCCGGCTACCTGTCCGCCCCCTCCATGGTCGACTACGCGTCCTCCAAAGCCGCCGCCCTCTCCTTCCACGAAGGTCTCGCCGCCGAACTCACCGCCCGCTACAACGCACCCAAGATAAGGACTGTACTCATGGCCCAGAGCTACACCCGCACTGCGCTGTTCGAAGGCTTCGATTCAAAGGGCGTTTTGTACCCGGAGACGGTTGCTGAGAGCATTGTCAAGGCGGTGTTGAGTGGCAAGAGTCAGCATGTTGTTCTGCCTGAAACTAGTGGGCTGTTTATTCCTGCGATAAGGACTTGGCCGTATTGGATGCAGTATGGGCTGAGGAAGAGGTTGGGTAAGCTTATGGCGGGGTGGAAGGGTAGGCAGGTTGTCCAGCCTAGTCTGGCGGGTGAGGAGAAGAAGGTCGATGATAGTACTGTGCTTATTGATAAGGAGTAGGAGGGTGGTTGATTGGTGGAAATGTGTGGTACTGTCCGCAGTTTACATATAATCTTCTGCGATTTGTGTCAAGGATGTAGTACTGAGCTGTTCATATTTCTTTTTATGTGTTACATAATCCTGCAGTATACCTTTCATATAATTGAGCGATATCACCAGCATATATTCAATTAGAGCATATTGAGTCTACTCGCAGATAAGTCCAGGACAAGCCTCGTACACAGGGATTTGAGTAGACGAAGAAGTAGACTGATACAGAATGACGTAAGCGTACACGTGGTATGCATCAACATTGTAAGACGGGGAAATACATACATCTGAAAGCCTCCAAGAACCAATCTCGATATCCAGGTTGCCTTGTTATTTTTGTGATTTTCAACACGTTGTACGAAACATGGCCCATCTAACACGAGAAGAAGTCCTCAAGTCGGGTCAGGTGTCCGAAATATACAGAAAGGTACAGTGGCTTCATAAGACACTTGCGATAACACATCATCGTCTTCCTCCTTCACCGCCCTACCAATTTCTAGACAACCAAATCTAAACTCACACCCCACCCAGGCCTTCACAGCCCGCCCATTCGAAACAACGGGCCCAGACTTCTTCGCCCACCGCGCCTCACGTGCAGCCCATCTCTCGCAGCTCCGACATCTCTACCCCATTCCCGGCCCCATCCCAGAGCATGTGATAGAAAGCCTCCACGACGTACCAACCCGAGATGGAGCCTCCATCCGCGTCAAAGTGTACCAGCCTGTGGCGGGTCCGCCGGAAGGTGGCAGTCCACTGATTATGATGTACCACGAAGGAGGCTGGAGTATGGGTGATTTAACAGATGAAGATATGAATTGTCGGATGTTTACGAGGGAGTTGGGGGCTGTTTGTGTTAATGTTGAGTATCGGTAAGTGGCAGAACTGTGTTTCCTGGTTTCCCTATCCTTCTATCCGTCATCGTATACTTCCACTCTCTTTTGAAGGACACATCTACTCACGTACCACCACAGTCTAGCACCCGAGCACAAATTCCCGACCGGCGTTCACGACTGCCACGACGCCCTCCTCTGGGCCATCAAAAATAGCGACCTACTCAACGCAACACCCATCCACGGCCTCCTCGTAGGCGGCGCCTCAGCCGGCGGTAACATCGCCGCTGTCCTTGCCCTTCTCGCCCGTGACACAGCTTTGAATCCACCCATAACAGCCCAATACCTCTGCGTCCCCGCACTCCTCCCCCACACAAACGTGCCCACCCACCTACGTCCCCTGTACCAATCCCGGCAAAACAACACATCCGACCCCGTCCTCAAAGACATGGCCCCAGGATTCATCGAGTCCATCTACGAACCCGACGCCAAATCCCCGCTTTGGGACCCGTTCAACCATCCAGCTGGCCATGTGGGTGTTGCAAAGGCGTTTTTCCAGGTTGGCGGGCTGGATCCGTTGAGGGACGAGGCGGTGCTTTATGATAGAAAATTAAGGGAGAGTGGGGTGCTGACGCGGTTTGAACTGTACAAGGGATTTGGGCATATGTTTTGGACGAATTATCCGGAGTTGGAGGAGAGTAGGGGGTTTAGCAAGGACACGTTGGAGGGGGTGAAGTGGTTGTTGGAGGGGTAGGTGGGCGTTGTGTTTGTGTATGATTGGATTCGTGTGAGTGGGATACACTACGAGCATGTCAATCTACACGTCTCCTTACACACGCACCCCGAGCATTTCGCAATTCAGCGGTACCGACCAGTAGCATCGCCCTATTGATACCCGTTTCTCCAACTCCACTGCCCCCCCTCCTCTCGTTCCAATATCCCTGCCACACCAACCCAGGAAAAAACCGAACACTCTGGAGTCCACGTTGACGTTGGGTCACCCACTTTGCAAGTTGTTGGTTTGATGTAGTCTGCAGACCTGTTCAGGTTTTTTTCTTGTATGAGGTGCTGCATCCCCGGTGGATTACCCATATGCCGCCAATGTCCCCAGTTGAAGTGCCCGTGAGGCACTTGAGAGAGGTTGTCTGCTGTGATACGATCTGGGCGGCGGTAGTCGGCCCAAGGGACGCCTCGGCCTGTCATGCTGGAGATTATCCGAGCTTAAGCTTCGGTGTGGTCAGTAGTTTGGGTGAAGATTTTGTTAGCTGATCTGGTAAGGTTGTTCGGTACGAGTGGTGTGATTAGAGAATTGGAGAGAAAGGCAAGGGATAGGTATATAACAGACAATGTGCTGGCAAGAGTGTGGAATTGATGCTTGAAGGACATGATGCGTAGCTTCGGCCATGGGAGATAGAGACAAGTCGATCGAGATGTGTTGTATATGCTTTCACAGCCACGCAGAAAGCAAAGGTGTCGACAGTGGATGCGGTAATAGGGATAAAGGAGTACGTATTCGAGAAATGGTGATACGGAATATGAAAGCTTGTATTGGGTACGGAAATACACTGTGGGTATAAAGCCATGCTAATGACGACCGTGAACCTGTAAGAAAGCCTTTGCTGTCGAGAGCGTCGAATAAACTTGTATAAAATGCAGATGCCTGAAAAAGTGGAAATTGCTGGTGAAGAAACCGGAACCAGATTATGAACCACCCCTTGGACTGCCTGAGGGCGCCTTGTTGACCAAGCTCGAGAAGAAGGATCTCAGCTTCTCGTTGTCGTTGATGTTGGTATCCTGCGTTTTCGGAGGTGGTGTTTCGGGCTCGTCTGATCGGTTGGCTTGACGGTCCTGGGATGAGGTTAGTGTATGTTCTTTATCTCTTCGTGTACGCTGAATGTGTGCTTGGCGTACCTGTAGCCTCTTGACCATTTCATCGGCGTTGACTTGGATGCCACCCATGTTAAATTGTACAGGTCCAATATGCTCTTCGACAACTCCCGATGCGTCGTCGGTATAAGTCCTAGAGATTGATGGATCTTGCTCTTTGCGCGCAGCCTTGATGGCAGCTTCATTCTCATCCTCCCGCCGCAGATTCTCAAGAACGTTGACTTGATCGGCGAGGAAGGCCTGTGGATCTTTGCTTGATACTTCGAGCCCGTTGGCTTGTTTCGATAAGCTGGAAAGTGCGTAGTCTGACTCCGGGTTGCGGATCGTCTCCTCGTAGATTGAAGTCGCTGAGGGTCCTTCCTCTTCTTCTTCAGCTGGCGCAACCTGCGCCTCTTCGCCGTTCAGTTGGGCTTCTCCTTCGACGGGTGCAGCCACCTGACCGTTGGTTGGCCGCATGTGCTGGGGAATGTCAATGTCAACACTCCATTTCTCGCTGATGCCCTCGACATCAAAGCCCTCTCTTAATATACGAATCTTCGCCCAAGAGTCCCAGTTGGGTGGAACCAGTACCCGATCGCGATCCGTCACATTGTGTCTGAGTTGCTCTTGCTTGAGCAGAGACTTGATGCCGAGCGTGGAGTGAATGAGCGTTCGCAAAGATCCCGGCGCCGTCGGCATGGTGTATACCAAGCTTGAGCCGTGCTTGAGAAGGATAGTGCGCATGTACTGGAGTATGAAGTCGAATTCCTCCTCTTTCCAGCCCCGCTCCTTCTCAAGGGTCTCGATCTTGTCCGCGTTTTGGCATACTACACATAGCGGTATGCCAAGTGGCTCATCCCACTCTCCCGGGCCTAGTGGTATCTTCACATTCTCCATGCTGCTGCCTTCGGATGGGAGGTTGCGCCCTTTGTCTTGGAGGGTTTGGATGTTCTCCTCCAGCACTACCTTGGAGTTGTCATCGAGCGAGACAATGAGCGATCGCAGTACTCTGATCCAGTCGCGCAGTTGTCGTATCCACAGCCATGGGTGGTTCCAGTCGAGGAGTATGACGATGAGCATGTGCGGGAGGGTTCGTGGGTTCAGGTACGGCTTGATCAGGGGTGTGAACGAGGGCGATGGGTTAGCGAGGAGGTAGAGCGAGAGGCGCGCAAGAGTATCTGGCTTTGTTAGCGGTTCGTGCTGCCATGTCCAGCGAGACTACACACCCTCGTGATCCGTGTCCAGTACATCTTGGTACGTGTAGCCCAGGGCGAATTGGTTGGCGATGGGCGGCTTCCTGCCCCGGTCTGGCGGTCGCCTGTTGTTTGCAGAGTCTGTGGATACCGATTCGAGGAACTCTCGCTGTGTTTCTGGAGTTCCGCCTGGGATCGAGTATTAGCTGGATCCCCTATTCTGCGTGTCGTGGCCCTCACCCAGGACGAGTAGACTCTTTTCCGGCAGTCGCTTTCCACTCGAGATGTTGTCGAGCATGGGCTTCCATATCTCCTCTTTGTCCGTGTCTCTGCTGCCCGGTCGGTCGTGGCTGCCCGGGACGCGTGTGGGGAAGTTGGAGGTCCGACGCGCGCTCGCCATTGCGGAGGTGGTGCGGAGCTTGGTCGCTGGCGAAATGTTACTTTCCCGGCTGAGCGATGCGGTGTAGATGATGTACACAAAGGATGCGACGGATGCGGACGGGCTAAGGCGGCACGGAGTGAATGTCTAGTGGGGTTGCGGTGTGCTTGTTTGGCCGCATCTTCGCTGGTACCTTTTCTGCAGGGATGCTGCTGCTGGCCAAGCCCGAGCTTCAAAAGTTCCAGCGGACTTGCCTGCCTCCTCCGACACAACGTCTCGAACACACGAACGCAGCGCCAGCATTCTTCCAGGATCGCAGCGACATAGAAGACGAGTTCGGATACCCACGATGCATGTCTGAACAGCCGTCATAGCGCTAGTGGACCAGGAAGCGACCCCCAACCCACCCGCCGAACGCGCCTTCCTCACTTCTCTCACCTCACCACCACGTGCACACCACGCCCACGATGAACTCGGTGCGCGCGATCCAGCAGCTCAATAAGCGCGAGCTCGAAGCGGGCATCAACCCAGAAGGTTCATGGCATACCGACTATCGCGACACAGCCTTCATCAACATCGGCGGCCTGCCCTTCGAACTTTCAGAGGGTGACATCATCACCATATTCTCCCAGTATGGCGAGCCGGTATGGGTCAAGCTTGCGCGCGACAAGGAGACGGGAAAGTCACGGGGCTTTGCCTGGATTAAATACGAAGACCAGAGGAGCTGCGACTTGGCTGTGGACAACCTGGGTGGAGCAACCATTATGGACCGGGTCATCAGGGTCGACCATGCGCGATACAAGCCCAAGGACGACGAAGATATGAGGGACAACACTATGGGTGATGCCGATCTCGACCCGGGCAATGAGTCTGATGGTGGCAGAAGGAAGCGGAGAAAGACAGAGAGTGAAAGCGACTCGGACGACGACCGACCACTACTACCAGAGGAGATTGAGCTAGGGCGGCTTATGGAAAAGCTGGACGAGGACGATCCGATGCGCGATTCCATGATCAAGCGCCAACAAGAGAAAGTGGACGATGCGCTTAAGAAACTCAAGAAACAGAAGCGCAAAGAAAAAGAGAGGGCTAAGCGCAAGGATAGGCATAGTCGAAGAGACAGGTCGAGAGACCGAGATAGGAGCAGGGACAGAAGAAGGATCAAGGAAGCGGGAGAGGACGATGGGCGTGACAAGCACTCGCGCCGGAGGAGTAAAAGCCGCGACAGGAGTCCGCGCGACGACCATAGGCATCGGAAGTCAAGACCACGAGATGACTCGGAGGACAAACATCGTCGCCACCGGTCGGAACGGACTCGAGATCGGAGCGAGGATTCCAGAGACAGACGCGACCGACATCGAAAGCGGGAGCGAAGGCGTTCAGGTTCCGACGGCGAAGATGCAGGGCGCTCACGGCGAAAACCATCGCACTCACCATTACCATATCGCGCTCGTTCACCCTAGTCGCCGGTCATGCTCCTTTGAGTGTCGGCACATGTTCTGTCGCTGTCTCAATACTGTAGTATTATACATCAATATTCCATCTATCGCTACGCAGTCGAGTAGCTGGTCATCCCAAGCATTACGTTCCAACCAACAGCTGCCTAGCTACCATCTCAAGCTGCACTTCTACAAGCCCACCTCTCCCTGCCGCTTCAAGACCTTCGGTGACTGTCTCCCTCAAGAGCGCCAATCCACCCTGTTGTTCAAAACGTTTTGATCGGGACCAGGGCACAACTACCTCGATCTTCAGCCTCCTCACACTGGATAGCTCGTAGACTGGTTCAAGCCTTAACCGCTTCTTTACATCCTTCTTTGGAGCCAACTTCACAGGCGCTGGCGCACGCGCGAAATCTGTTAGCCAGAAATAATCCAACTCGAAAATCAGGCTGCGAAGTCCAGTGCACCTGGCCGCTAGATCTTCACCAGTGGTTATGTACACCCTCTGGTGTTTCAGGCCGTAGGCGAGGAGATCGCCATAACAGAGCATGCGCACGTGTTTGAAGCCGTCGACAGCGGTAAGAAAATTCATCAGGGGAACCACATGCGTTATGCTGCTCTTCAAAACCGTGAAACGTGTGCGCCGGATCCAGGCAGCGAGTCCTTCCTTGTGTAGTTGCCTGCTGGCAAAACATAAATTTGGAAGCGTAGCTGGACCTACGGTCAGGGGCGAGATGTCCTTGTACGCCTGGACAAAGTATCGGGTTGAAAGGCCGTCCATTGCGTAATGATAGACCTTCTCACGTATTTCGAGCGGAAGCCGGAGAAAGTGCGGGAAGTAGTCTGGCACGTACTCTTCCCATACCTCGGCCTTGGTAACGATGTCAGAGCGCGATGGCAGCACTCGAGTCTTGCGGGGTCGAGATTGATGGCGCACTTTGCGTTCGCAGTGTCGGGGTACATGGAAGATGTACTTTGGCATCCTGGGTATCTTGTGACTGCTTCTTCCCTGGGGACTGGACGTAAAGGCGAAACCGGAACCTAAATGCTTCGCAGCGCGATTAGCGGCTATCAGCAAATAGATGAGGTGGCAAAGTCGTCCTACAATCACCGTGGTGACGATTGCGAGAGCGACTCTAAGAGTGAACTCCATTGCTTGTTCAACCAAGGCTTTCGAATCCGTTGAAAGATAAGTTGAGGGTAGAGCAAGAGAAGGGAGCAATTTATCATCCCGGGAATTGTTCCTCGGATGGGTGAACTGACATCAAGAGTGCCCAAAGCGCGAGGCGCGCGTGGCAACAAAAGACCGCTTCTCGCGTTGGAACTTGACAATCTTACACACGGGAGTTTGTTGGTTCCTTGATCCTTCTATCTCATGTACAATCAGCTTGCTATTAGCTTGCTAGTCACACTCCTTTGTTCCTAGCAAGCACGCTGCCTCTTATAGGCAGCTTCCATCCCATAGATCACCGAAAATATCAATCCATCTGATCTTCTCTTCCTGCATTCTACAGATATCCTGCATATAGTAGCAGGAAAAGGTTTCTTGTGAAGAAAAATACAGGTGCCGACCCTCGATCAAAATACGAGCTAGAAAAAGTCAAATGCTGTATTAGGTGCCGAGGGCCTTCGATGTACCAGCTGACTATCTATCTCTATACGTTATTATCTACCGAGCGAACTCCCTCAAGTGAGACTTTACTACGTCATAGCCTTGAATTTCATTGATCTCGTCCGAGACAAGTTGGTTGAAATCACTCTTCTCATGTAGAGAAAGAACTTTCACCCCCGCGAACCAACGGCGTAGGCACCCGATTCTCCTATTCCACGCTAACTCATCGACTGTTCATGTTGTAGCTCGGTAGACGTTCATCTCCCGGCAGCTCCCAGACCACCTTGATCTGACTCTGACTCGACAGTTCTGCATATGACTCCTCGGTTGATAGCTCGGCTTTATCGTTAAACTCTGCCACAGCGACCGGAGGCTCGTCTAAACGGGGCGCGACTCGTTGGCGTTTGTGGCGCCTGATAAAGAGTATCAACAGGGCGGTCAGAAGACATCCTCCTAAAGCTCCGCCGACTCCGGCGCCGATGGAAATTGCTTTGCTGTCGCTTTGGCTCGAATTGTCGGCTGGCGGGCTCTGGGAGGTTTGAGTTACGGATCCAGTGCCAGTGCGCGATGGAGTTGGTAAAGGCGTGGTACTCGCACTCGAAGTAGCGGATGAAGTCAACGACAGCGACGAAGTACTCTCGACCCCTGTATACGGGCCAACAGTAGCACTCGTCAAGGTAAACACCGCTGTATCCGTCTGACAGCACCTCTGCCCCTCCGCCTCGGACTCGCAACAGTACTCCGCTTCCGTACCATACCCCTGGGAGCCACACTGCCACACCTTGACGCCATCTGCGCGAAAGTCATACGCGCTAGAATTATTCGGCGTGTCTTGATTGAGCTGGCAATTTTGCGGACAGAGTGGGCTGGACCAGCTCCTATCCGTACAGGTGCCGCGTGCGTACTCTTGACCGCTATCGCTCTCCGCACCACCCATAATGCAAAGGCCGTTTGTGAGACAGGCTGCGCGCGACCAGCAACATCCTGTTACTTCCGCGTCGGGGTCGCATGGGACGTCGTGGGGTTGTGTGTCGCCGTTGGGGTAGTAGCATATGTTCTGTGGTGAAGCGAAGTGGAGTATGGAAAATGTGAAAACGAGAGTGTGGTAATGCATGATGAGGGATTGAGTGTGCACGAGAAGGAGATGCGAAGGTAGTAAGAAGCATATACCTGTTGGGGTCATTACGGCCCCCAAACATTCAACGTGAGACTGCATGCTAAGCGCCCAACATCTGACACCACAGCTACGCTGTCAGAACAACGCAACGAACAGCCAAAATAGTGCCGCGAGATGGGGCGGTAGCTGATTCAGCGTAGAATCACTATCCAATCATTTGTATTCGGGTATAATTTACCAACGCCGCCCCCATTCCTCCTTTCCCTATATCTACGCAGCCTGCTTCTGGCCGGTGACAGGGCATACAGCCCCATCCGCCGCACCCTCTACGCTCGGGTGTGTAGCGACCTTGTCCTTGTGGTGTCCAACTGTCGCCTTTGTGACTGGGCAGATATCGCCGGCGTTCGCCTTGAGCATGTCTGGGTGGTCGGGAGGAAGCACGGTTGTAGCTGTGCCTACGATAGGGCAGAGAGCATCGTCCATCTCTTGGGCCTTGGTCGTCTTTACGTTCTTCTTGAGCGCCGGGCACGATGTAGCCTCGGTGCCTTGGGTGGGGACGGGAGGGTGTGCGGAGAGGTTGTGGTGGTGGTCGCTTGTCGCGCCTACGACGGGGCACTATGGATTGTATGTTAGTGATGTGCAACCAGATCGAGTATAGTATTTGGTACGTACAACCTGGCCATCCTTTGCTAGGTCGATAGAGGGGTGGTTTGGGGGAAGCACATCGTTGGTCGTTCCAATCACGGGGCAAGACATGTTGATGGAAGTGTAGTCGTTGGTGTTGTATTACAAAGGTTCGATGTAAAAGTTGTAAGAGTTGTAGATCAACAAGAAGTGAAGAGGGGTATCAGAGCGGTGTATATGGGCTTGCTAGCAAGCGCCAGACTCTTGCTGCACCTTGTATGGCCGCCTCGAAGCTACCCCAGATTTGCAGGGATCGCGTCGCTAGCGCCTTTGTCATGGCCATCACGTCACCGCTGATTGGTTGAATGGCTTGAGCTCGAGCTCCACAACGCGCGCCTTTCGAAGCTTCGAATAACAGCTAACCTTCTGCCTTGTTTCTGTTTCCGGACTATCGCGTTACCAATGTGTGTTCCGCATGTCGGTGTTCAAGACTAATTGCTTTTCACGTTGGAAAACATCATCATACCGAACTTATGATGCCCAGGTGGTTATTGGTAATCAACTTAGGATGCCTGGCGATGACCTGTAAGCACCAAACTTAGAAGCTCAACAAATATCAGGATGCTAGACGTTTCTCTTTAACCAATAATACAGGACGGGTCTATCTAGACAGTTATAGCAGGTCCAGCCTTAACAAGGGCTTTTGATAATGCGCTCTTCATCTCGATGCGCGCCTTTACTTCCGCCACATCTTTATCGTCAAGCTCAACCAGGGTCCCGCGAACACGTCCCCTCCAGCATCCCCATCGGCGAACCAACTCGACTTGGATACCGCGCTCCGGATTCCGCTGAACGAGGAAGCTCTTCATCATCCACTTGCTTACTTCCTCTAGCACATCTAGATCGGCCTCCTTGCCGCCTCGAGATGGTCGCATGTATATGCCATCGATATACACCTCCTCCAACTTGGTACAGCCGAGAATTGTCTCCAGCTTGAATCGGTCGATGACTGTAGCCAGAGGAAGTGCCTTGCGTTCCCAGTCGGTCTCCGCACTGCTGAAAGTCACCTTATCGACATGGAAAGTCATATCCAGCTTGCGCAATTTCTTGCAAGCGACAGCTAACTCAAAGCTGGGGTTGGTGAGGGCTGGTGTGATGCGTTGGTTGTTGAACCAATGCATGTGCGGGAAGTTGAGGTGCTTCACCGCGTTCTCGCCGCCGCCACCAGGAATCGCCTTTATGAACTTGGTAAACCATGTCGCGATCTTGAAGTTAGTGTTTCGGAACATATACTTCAGATCGAATCGCTTGGTCCTCTGCAGCATCAGGACGAGAACTTCCTCATGCATCTTGTGGCTCACGAAAGCGAGGTTTGGTAGCCAACCCTTGGGGCAACGGCCCGTGCTCGCGTCCGGAAACACTTTGGGATTCTGGTTGTCGCAAGCGATGAGCACGTTGGGATACTCCCACTTGCAGCACGGATTGCTGAATTCGTCGTAGTGCTGATGCTCGCTCAGGCGACCAGCATCACACTCCATCAAAGCATACTCGTGCATGATGGACTCGCGGAGCTCTCCAGGTAAGTCGAGGAACTTCTGGAACCAGTCCGGACAGACGTACGTGGTGTATTCGACCACCTCGGAAAACTCGCGGAATGCGGCGATTTCCGGGTCGTTCCAGTTGTCGAAGTCATTGGTGTACTCCAGATACGAGCCGCATGTTATAAGAAGATCGTAGAAGATGTGGTCCCGAACTTCCTTAAATCCGTCCATGAACCAATCCATGTGGGTGATGGCTGTGGGGAAAGTGCGCCATTCCTCAAGTCCATGTATGTACGCAGTCTCGTCCACGCAATACATACACTGACATGGGCTTTCCCAGTCACACCAGTAATCTTCATCCGAGTCATCCAAATCTCTCGCTCTGTTGTAGCCATGATCATAGCGGCTGCCCCACGCACTCCAGAAACAGGCTCTGTCGTATGAATGAACGAGATCGAAGAAGATGACATCTTCGATAGGAGTGTATCCCATGTGACGGTACACGGTCAATAGGTAGTCCGGCAGGGGTGGATAGGAGAGCATGTCTAGCGGCGGAGGGTCGTAGGCATGCTTCACACATTGCATACCAGCTCTTGCCAATTTGGAGAATTCGCCATCGGCCAATGTTCTCTGCTGATACACCCTGCATATGCTGATCATGTCTTGGAACACATTGTTCTCTGTGGTAGAAGGATCATTCCAGTCTTCCACGGAGTCGTGCTCGTTACTGTATTCGATATAGCCTTGGGCAGTCAACGTAAGATTATGAAATGCCTCAAGCAAGACGGGATCCGGATCCTCGGTGGAGTATTTAGGAGTGAAGCTCTGCTCAACTGTCTTTACGAAGGACGTGTAGGACTTTTGGATGTCCTCCTAGTCATTATCAGTATTGCCAACGGTAGCAATGATTTCATGAGACTTACCGATAACGGGTAGTCGATGAGTTTAACCATGATTGCTCTGGGTATACGAGGTATACAAACTCTTCGAAAGGTTCAGGGGTTTCAAGTTGAGTGGAGTGATCTGTTGGAGAATGGCAATGGCCCTAGAGAGCTGAGGCTGATATAGGACAAGGAGAGAGTGCTAGGCAGAAGGAGGCCCTCTAGCAAGAAGGGTGGGCTTTTGCATTCACTGCATCGTGTATTAGTCTGTGCAGTCTCGCCCCTTCACAGGACAGGCACGAAGACCGTGGTTCTCTAGGGCGGGGGCAAAAGCACTCAGGGGTATGCTGCGAGTCCTCCTCGACCAGCTTGATGTTGACAAACTGAGTAAATGGCTTGCATCGTAGCCGCATACAAACATTTGCTTGGAACATGACACATCAAGTCATAATTCGATCGGCGTGCTTCGGAAGTTGTCATAACACACTTCGCCGGAGTTTGTTAGATCAATAGTTCAGTGAGTGAACAGAGGTTGAGCTACCACGCAGAGCAAACACACATGTTCCTGACTATGCCTTAAGATCGAATATTTTGATAAGGGGGGTTACCGAGATGTCACTGTTTCATCACTTCACAAGCCTGCAAAGACTGCAAGAATTACAATGATGAAGGTCATAAGTGTCGACATTACTGAATCATCTTACTAGCCTACTCGATCACTATCTCGCCCTCTTGCTTCATATCACGGCTGCTTGCTCCCACCCAGACCGCGTACCGGCCTCTCTGGAGCTCCCAAGCCTGAGCCGTAACGTTCCAAACACTCAGATCGCGTCGGTCCAAAGTGAACTCAACCTCTCGGCTTTCACCAGGCTGCAACAGACCCACACGTTCGAAACCTCGGAGCTGCTTCGCCGGCGCATTTGGCACACCCAAGTATAGCTGCGCTACTTCATGGCCAGCGACTTTGCCAGTGTTGGTGATAGTGACTGTAGCGCGGTACAAGACTTGCCATAGCCAAGGGTGACCTCCCTGTACAATCGGCACAGATGTGGACGGGAAAGCAGCGAGACTTGCATTCGCCACAGGCTCGACCGTCATGTTGGCATAGCCGAATGTGGTGTACGAAAGTCCGTAACCAAACTCATACTGCGGTGTGATGTTTTGAGCGTCAAAAGCGCGGTAGTCGATGTACAAGCCCTCAGTGAAGTCCGACTGCAAAAATGCCGGGATGGAAGGGTCAAGAGTCGAATTGAGGAGATGGCCGTAATCGGACTCTTGCTTCGCGACAGTGTATGGCAAACGACCAGAAGGGTTCACGTCACCGTATAGAACGTCGGCGATGGCGTTACCGCTTTCCTGACCGGGTACACCAGCGAAGAGAACAGCGGTGACATTGGGGTGGTCAATCCATGCGTCAACGGTGCGGATGCCCGCGGAGTGGAGTACAACAACCGTGTTTGAGCAGTTGGTCGCAACGTTGTTGACAAGCTGGTCGCTGAACTCATCTGTAAGAGAAGTGCGATCAAAGCTCTCCGAAGCGTATGAGTTGATGAAGACGAGGCACGCGTCAGCATTCGCATACACGGTCGGGTTCACACCAAAGAAGTCCCATCGTACAGTTCCGCGATCCGCAATTACGCGATTCTGGATGGCGTTGAAGGGGCTGATAACATAAGGTGGAGTGCTGGAGCCTGACCCGCCTGCCGTGATGAGGGTGCCGTTGAGGGTGTTCCAGCCGAAGTTCTCTTCATAGCCACCACCGAATCGAGCGGCGTTGTTCCATGGCTGGGACTTTACTTCAGCGTCGTAACCGTAGATGTTCAAGAAGCGAGGGTGCTGGAGTGGTAGAGTGTTGTTGACGTTCTTGACCAGCACAGTTCCGGCGGCCCCGATCTCTCGGATGAGCGACGCGTGGTCTTCACGCACGTCGACGATTTCGTGTTCGACGTTGTATGGGTAGACAGCGTTTTCGGGGAAACCCTCGTCTTGGTTGAGATAGAACCAGGCTGCGAGTAGTCTTGTGTTCATGTCGTCGAGCCTCTCTGTGGTAATGGATCCGTTGTTAACAGCATCGGTAAGGTTCTCGCCCCAGAATTTGGCAACAGGCATCACCACGTCCAGACCAGCATTGGCTGATGCGACACCGGCGTGTTGAGCATCCCAGTCAGATACCACAAAACCCTCGAATCCCAACTCTTCCTTCAAAATTCCGTTTAGAAGCTTGCTGTTCTGGCATCCGTATGAGTTGTTGATTCGCTGGTATGAGCACATCAGCGAGCCAGCTCCTTCACGCAGAGCATCCATGAATGGCCAAGCGTAGAGCTCGTGCAGTGTGCGATCGTCCACATTGGAGGAGACGGCCTCGCCTTCATCACCGGGGCGTCGTCTGTACTCCTGTTCTTGCGCAAGCCAGTGCTATTGATGCGATCAGCTTTGACTATCTATTGTCCTTGCTATGTCACCTACCTTTGGTGTAGCGATCACGCCTTCTTTCTGTGTGCCTCTAGTGATGAGGCCACCACCAATACCAGCAAGATACGGGTCGGCACCAAGGCCTTCCCAATTCCTACCACCGCGCGCGACTCTTCCAATAGGGCCGATGAATGGGCCGAGAGCTACGTGAATGCCCTTTCCTCTGTACTCTCTACCGAGAGCATGGCCATATCTGAGCATAAGATCTCGGTCGAACGTAGCTCCAAGATGAATGCCAGCAGGGAATGATGACACAAACTCTTGTCCTCGCACACCAGCAGGTGCATCCGCGAAACATAGCTCTGGGATCTGAAGACGAGGTACAGCTCCCGTTTGGCCTACGCAAGGGCCGGAGACGCCATGGGTGAGGTTCGACTTCTCCTCTAGCGTCAATTGAGCCACAAGGTCTCTCGCACGAGCATATGCGGATGCCCAAGAAGACGAGGTTGTTCCATTGCCGACAGCTGTCTATTGTTAGTCCTCTAACCTTCAAAATGACCAAAACACTCACGGGTCGGATAGACTGGTGGGCTAAGTCCGTAGAATGGAACCTCCGACTCGTTGGTGTATCCTTGTGAGACCGCTAGATTTGGCAGTAGAGCAAAGCTCACCGCAACTGCGCTGGAGTACCTCATCTTGCGAAACTGACGTCTGCAACAAGATGATCGCAGTCGTTGGCATCACAGGTAGCTTTATACTTCCGAAAATTTTGCATGCATCTCGCGATCTACCCACGTCATTCGGGATTCCACCGGGCTGCCATATCAGCCTCGTGACGAGCCATCCGCAATGCTACCGTTCTCTCCAACCGTTCTCCGCATTCTGCCTTGGCGGAGAGGGGAGAGCGGATACAAGTGTCGATGGTTGCTGCATGGAGGATGGTCGGCACGACTGGCTGTTGCCGACAAGCTAGCTTCGCCGACGATTACCCAGATGCTTCTTCGCATCGCCCCGCATCGTATTCCATGGAAGCACAACCTTTCCATCTCAGAGATAATACCCACTGTAGTACTGCGATTCAATATTGTCTTCATTCGTGAAAGAGCAGACCTTGGTCGATAGCTAGACGAGATTGTTTGCAGAACCGGCTGTCAGACGAACTCACCTACCCATTATGCCGCAGGCACGGCACGGCTCAACTCCACGGTCGAAGCATCGCGATGCTTGGCCTGGCCATGATGCTTCTACGTTAGCACCGCTAAGACCTCGTCATCCATCTTTTCCGGGCTTTCGCTGTCGGAAGTCGGATCGTGAAGTAGCCCCGGATAACAATCGCCCGAACCCCGGAGCGATTTAGCGCGTCGTGCTTAGGCCGTGCAGATATTCCAAGGTTGCGACCTCAGCCAAATGTTGGCGGCATCATAGCGGCACGGTCGTTACTTATGGAGCAGCCTGGCTATATAATGACGGAACCTTCCGGAAAGCGTTGATGGCGTTGCTACAGTTCCCGGGTCTGACGCCCGTTTCAGCCTGACAACGGCGACGCCTTGGTGCCTCAGGTTCTGTCTCAAGACCGCCAACACGTGGAGAAACATGCATCACCCCAGCCGTTCCTCATAATCGGGACGTCACAACTGTCAATGCGCGTGGACGCATTCCTCTTACGGCGGATCACAACATTCCGTGGGAAATCTTCGGGTTTGCTGGCCAATTGCTGAGCTGGGATGGCATGAACGCTTGAACAATGAGCTGTGAGGCGAGAAGCAAGGGTACAGAGAGAGACCAGTGCTCCAGAAGATTCTTCTGCCTTATGCTCAGGTACGGGTCGGAACCAGAGCTCCGCGTGGAAAGAATGGTGGCGCGTTGACATCGCAGGTCTTGAATCAGGTCTGCCTGCACGCTCAGGCACCACCAGCCACCCTGCACCTCAGATGTTTCCACCCCCACTCGAGCTGCACAAGGCATCACACCAAGGCACTCGGCTCATGAGGCTCCGAACTTTATTGACAATGTGACGTTTGCCTCAATAGCGATACTGCATCCGCTCGTGGAAACGGGTTTTCTTTTCGTGCCTACCACTCACTCGTTTAGACACCACTTACTTTCAACTTAGCGCTCTGTGAGCAGCTGCCAGCTGGACTGTGCTTATACTTTACAATCATTTCATCCTGTATTTTTTCATCATCTTCTTGTACGAGAATGGGATATGGCAAATCGATATTGCTGTCAATAAGGGTCCTAGCCCTGATTGTGGCAATGGGAGTGCTAGGACTAGGTGCTTGGTGTAAGTGATCATCTTTCATTCAAGAACATGGAAACATGGTGCTAATCATTTCATTTAGCCCAATTCATCATTCGCGATATGAAGAGTCGCGGTACCGGGATCATGGACGCGCTTCAGCCAGAGGCTCAAATGGCGGAGTATTGGAAAGAATACTTTGCTACGGTCTACAGAGGCGCCATCAAGATCTGGATCTCAGTCGCGGCAGTACGTTGAACAGTCATCGATCAATACCGTTGTACTGACATGCAGGCAGGCCGGCTTTGCTTCTCTCGCAGGCACTGTGATCGTTTTGACAGCCATCATCCAACGCTTGCGCATACCCTCAGCGATCCTCATCCCCATCGAATGCCTGTGCATGTGCGCCATGGCAGTCGCTCTCGGCGTTTCTCTCAGCTTCAACATGAGTCTCGAGACCTTTAGCGAAACGCGTCTCGATACGGCGGCGAACCCAAACCTCATGATGTTTGCGATCCTGGTCGATCTTAGCCGTGGTTACACCATCGCAGCCGGAGCGGGATGGTTCCTTTTCTTGATCACTTTCATCACCGCAACGATCGACGCGTGTCGTCGCGCCCGAGAAAAGGAGAGCTGTTCATTCGAACCCACCGCATCAGCACTCGGCATGGGTTTTCACGGATACGACGCTGTTGTCCCACCTCCTTCACGCAGTCGCGTCCCCACAATGTACGATCCGCGCGTGCCCTCAATTCTGATCGACCCGGATGCGCGTGGAAGAGCGTCAGTGGCCAAAGATGTTGAGATGGGACGCGCAGACTCTGTTCTCAGCCACGAGGGCAGGATTTCGCAAGAGTTTGAGAAGGAGATTTCCGGGCCACTGAGTTTGGAGAGGCCACAAAGGGTGCAGCAGATGCGACCTTCACGGCCATGGAGCGAAGTACATAGGGTACCGAAGGCGGATGAAGTGATACACGCCATTTAGACATTATAGGATCATGACCACAGTAGATAGATTAGTCAAGTCGACACTCGTTTACATAGAAGAATGAAGTATACAAGACAAAGAGTGTCATAACGAGAACTACCTTGAGAGAGGGAAAGACCATTCAAGGTCGAGGGCAAGAGCTACACGACGGCCGGAAGAGAGCAAGTCGCGTCGCCTAATCACATGACCGCGTCTCTAGCGCGTTTTCTTAGCGCAACGCGCACTCCCTGCGTCATCGCCATGAGCAGTACAATCCGAACTCCAAATCTAACGTCTTGCACCTTATACGTCCGAACCCATCCCTCCCAACATTCAATGGCAGGTTTCACAAAACGAGGCGGCGCCCGAGGCGGCAGCTCCTACAAAAAGACCTTCACAAAGAAACGCTCCTCCCCAGACGCCGGTGACGACAACGCGCCGCGCGCAAGCAAGAAGACCAAATCCGGAGACGACGACGAGGAGTCGGTACCAGTGGTACCTGAGCTGAAGACGGATGATAACGGTGATGCTTATGTTGGTGTGAGTAGCCTCAACAGAAGAAACGGCGAATAATGGATAGAAGAATACTAACGAAAACGTCAGCTCAACGCCAGCGGCAAGCGACGCGTAACAGTTAGCGATTTCAACAAGAGTACCCTTGTTAGTATACGGGAGTATTACGTTACTGATGCTGGAGAGACGAGGCCAGGAAAGAAGGTATGCACACTCTATTTTCCCTTTCTGCCTCTTTAGAGGGATGAGTTGCTGACACGGGCTCCTCATACAGGGCATCTCGCTTACAGTCGATCAATACAACGCTTTACTCGCATCGGCGCCGCTTATCGAATCTGCGCTCGCGAAGAAGGACATACAGGTCGTACGGCCGGATTATGAGGCTGACTTGAGTGCGAAGACCGAGGACATGAAGTCTGGAGACGAAGAAGAGGCAGACGAGGAGGAGGATGAGAGTGCGAAGAAGGCTGCGGAAGAAGAAGATGACGACGAGTGATAACTGGACATTTAAAACGGAATTGTTGGACTACTATCTGATGTACAACTAGGGACAAGATGGAGTCGCGGGCAATGGATGTATACTCTATCAAGGTCATCGGCGTTGTAATCTACATCAGACATACTGGGGATTGTTGCCCTTGCCCTATTCCCATGCTCTGAACAACAAAGCCTGAACCAGACAGATGCAAATCAATATCTGCATCTAGACCATCACCTAAATACGTGCAGCAAGCTTCGAGACATTGAACGTATGCTCTCGAAGTGCACAGACATGTCATCAATATGACGATACACCATCCTTGTATCCTCGAAGCTGCTCTACCAAGAAGTTCACTCGTACAGCCTGCCTTTACGCAGTTGCCCACTGGCGAACTCCGTTTCGTCCTCAACACTCTTGAGTACCACGTAGCCAACGTCGCTTTCCGGATTCGCATCCGCAATCTGCACTTTCATCTTCCGCAGAAGCCGGCTACGCTCAGAGCCGTCAAGGCCGCTGCCACCTTCGGGAACTTTGACGTATGGGTTGTCGCGTGTGAAGGCTGAGACGTATGTGAAATAGTCTGGGGCCAGTGTTGTCAAATAGATAGCGATGTTCAGTATGCCCACAAGGAGCAATACGGTGGAGGCGAAGAGTTGTGTGATGATCCAAGCGGTGTTCTTTTGGTAAACAGGGAATTTGCTCGAGAAAGTCGCGTTTGCTGCCATCATCCAAAAGTTCTGGCTGATAGATGTGTCGTCAATGAATTTTTGGTTTGGAGTCTCGTAAGGGTTGCGCAGCGTGGCTGAGGATGGGAATGCACCGGCTTGCCACCAAGAATTTAGCCAAAGGCTGAGCCGCTCCGAAACCATGTCATCTTGGTAGCCCTGAGTGTCTCGCATTACATATCGTAGCCCGGAAAAGAACGACCATGTTGCTTTCCCCCCCGACGTTGTAAAGTTTCTTAGAATCTCGGTGTCGTTTGTGAAGCAATGGAGACGGCGGTCAAAGTGGCCTTCACATTCCTTTACTTGGGATAACATCGCCTGGCTACGGCGGATCTTTTCAACCTCGCAGGTATTGTCTTGACAGGATATGTGGGCATCTACTTTAACGAGATTTGGAGCACATTGATACACTGTCGCCAGACCCTCGCTTGCCGAGTACCCGGTTCGGTATTCATAAAGTCCAAACATGAATTGTATAGGTCGTGCATCGGCTTCTGAAGCGTTGACGTCAGAGCGGGTATTATTCTCAGCCCCAAACCTGAAGAATACGGCATCCCCAAACGTCCATCCATTGAGGGATACGTTAGTTTCCGGAGGAAACGGGAAAAGTTGACCGAAAGGTTCTGAAGCCGTGAAGTTGATGCTTGGATACAAGTTAGGAAAGTAGAAGTCTAGATGTTCGATAGTTTTGTTCACATTTCCGGTAAATCGTGACTTGCAGTCCAGAGATATGTACTGATGTATGGCATCGAAAGTTGAGTTTGAATTGGGTGCGAGGCCTTGAGCGTTGATTCCGATCAGGGACGTGTAGCTCCCGTTGGCCACTATAGAACTCCACTCTGTCTCGGCATGATCAGCGAAGTCCTTCTCTATTTCTACGTCCTTAATCCGTGGAATCTTAGGGCGGTTCCATAAGTCCAGCGGACTGAGTTGAGTTCGTTGAGGAGCCATCAGGCTAGCTGTAAGTATGTCTCGGCTTTCAAACCGCAGAACATTCGGGTCCGGATCTGTGTAATAGGCGGTACCTGTAGTGTATGTTGTATTTGTAGTCTCCCGGAGAAGTCGCAACGAACTTTGCCCACCTATGGGTGACAAGGCCCAAAAGAATAGGGTGAGAACAGAGATTAAATCCAAAGATCGTATAGTGATGACAGTACTGACGGCGGACACGACGCTTTGGCTTCCAAGATACTTTTCGAGGGCCTGTTGAGCACCGTAACAGTTAGTCGTGGTCCTATCGACGTACTTCAGTCACCTTTGCGGCGAAGGCAGTGGAAATCATACCTCAACGGTCGTTCCTCGCTCTGCACACCTGACTGCGATATTTCTTAGAGAACGGCCACCGAGCGCAGCGTAGACGAGTGGGTAAACGGTCGGGCCCACATTCATGGCACCTTGAACAAGCTTGCCGCGTTCGGATAGAGGCTGTCCGTCAAGTTGCCATGCAGTTATTGCTAACACTTCTTCAAGTCAGCGGCAGATGCGTGCGTGGATCTTCATCCTCCTGGCCCACTCACCGATGAACGCGAATGGAAACAACACCAACAAACAGTCCCCAGAATAGTAAAGAGCTGAGACGCCCTTCAACCGTTGCTGAACCTCTGGCCAGCCTTGCAGAAGTGGCTTCTCACGCGCTTTTACTTCTCCGTCATCTTTGATTTGGCAGAGCTCGATTGCTGCATAGTTGGTTGCGCGCTTTCCTGGACGCCTGAAGAGTGAAGATAGCCACGTTACTACACGCATGATGCGCGTGACAAACGAAGATACGTTCGTGGTCAGGCTGAGGGCAGCACTCAGACTTAAGGGCCTACACAGCCGCCAAGTCTAGTCTTGGCGACGTGGGGGCGGATTTGGTACTCTCGCGTGTTGCTACTTTGGCGCGGACGCCATGCATTCAGCTTGACAAGCATCGTCCTCTCATGCCGCGAAAGAGTCCGTTCTCTATATCTCAGCTGAAATCGGTCTCAAGAAACTGCGACCAAATAAAACTGTGTCAGGAAGACAGCGGAAGCCTTAGATGTGCCTGGGAAGCAGATCGTGGCTTTGTATCTTGTCGTCATAGCTGCAACAGCGAATGTTAGAGTGCAACCACTCAGCCTTGTTGAGGCTGAAGGAATTGATCAGCGTATAGCCTCATAACATTCGGGGTAGCTGCAGATACCACATGCATGCTACCCTAGTTGAGACCATGATTTCAAAGCCTGAAAGCTGTGTACATTGCACACGGCATGTATAGGTCGCGCTGGCCGGGTTCCACGATAGACTTGTTGGAAGCAGCGAGAACCGTCGGCTCTCCGCAATATGTAACCCGTGATCTTTCGCTGACCAGTATCTGTTTAGTAGCGAACAGGCTGTAGGTAGGCATACGAAGAAAACGAGATAGAAGACCGCTCTTACTCGGGCGCGACAAACAGGAGAACATGATGAGATGGCATGCATGTGTGCGAGGGAAGGTGCGAGAAGCCGACAAAGCACGCCAACCCATAATGTACTAGCGCTATCGCGTCATCGGCATCGACGCGTCAATCTTCATCTCTACCTGCATCGCACTGGCTGTAGACACCCATCAAGACACGTGAAGTTACTCGGCGATGGCGATAGCATGTCTTTTTCTGTGAGCGCAATCTTGACCGACAATCTTCCGCTGGGTCAGCCTCGCTGCTGCCTACCTCGTCGCGTACATCGTTCTTCGATTGCTTTATCGCAGACGAATACCGAGTTCTTACAACTTTTTGCTTCCTGACGAACTTCAAATGGAAATCATTGAGATTCAAATGAGATGATCATCAATACGGCAACGCAACGATGATCAAGATCATGATCATGTGCTTTATCGCAGGGAAGTCTGCTCAAGGATATCTCACTGGCGCGTACCCAGTACATGGAATAGTGTCACTCTTCTCACAATTATTACTGGTCTTCTTCCTCTACTCCTCAGGCTTCTTTGCTAATCGATCTGGGCGTTCACAGATAGCTCGAAGAAGCTCGATCCATTGTCGTACATCAGGCAGGTTTTGCACGGTTTTCACAACGCATATTTCAGTCATGGGCGAACAGTAGAAGGCGATCGTTTCATTACGCTCATAGACGAGCTCGCGTATCGGCTAAAGTTATAAACAAGAACAAGTATGTAAACAGCAATGTGACTCCACCGAGTTAACCAAAAAACGCCAGACCCAGAGATCCAGATGCACACATCCGCCGGTTCCTATCCAAACACCCGATGACCAACGCCTAAGGGACATCTCAAAACTCGTCGTACCAATCGTTCCTCATGAACCTGCATTCCAACGACATCAATGCCATCCAAAATTCGTCATGCCGTGACACGTACACATAAGCCATTAATCATGCATTGCGACTTCGAAGAACACGTCATGGTCAAGCTCGACGTATGGACCAGCGATGCCAACTCTAGAACCCTGAAAGGGCGAGTCGAAGCTTCAAACTGGAGGTTACGGAGCGAGACGCAAAAGCGTATTCGTATCAGCAGTCGTCAATAGATTTCGTGGATGTGCATCTAGCCGACAGTGCTCGCCTCTTCCTCAGCCGCACGCCGGAAGTAATCGGCGTCCATTTCGGACTCGTTGAAGGCAGCAGTAGGCAGATCAGTACCAACACCCGAGTCGCTGGGTGGGGCATAGTTCTCCTTCATCTCTTCCTTCACAGCGTCGACAGCACGGACAATTTCCGACTGTGTTGGCAGCTCGACGTCGTTCTCGGTAGTGGCTGTTGAGATCTCGGAGCCAGTGATGTCGGATGGGTTGATAGTGGCAGTGGGCTCGTCGTCTTCTTCGTCATCGGAGTATACAGAGCCTTCCTCATCGATACGCTCTTCACCGGGAGCAGCAGAGCGAGCTGACTGAGCACCATACGAGGTGCGGCGGTCGATATCGCTACCGGTCATGTACGAGGAACCGGAGGCGTATGTGTACTCGCTGCCTGTGCCGCCAAAGCTGGAGCGACCGTCATAGCCTGGCGTCTCACCCTCAGCATAGTCGCGGCTGTCGAGGCTGTAGCGACGCTCAGTGCCAGTCTCGCTCTGTGCATCCTCCTCGATGATTTCGTGAGAAATCGGGGCCGTCTCGTGCTCGTCTTCCTCGGGCAGAACATCGTTCTCCTTATTGGCAATGACGGCGCTAGGGCGACCGCCCCAAGAGCCCTTGCGAGAGTAGTTGCTGGTCTTGACAGAGTGGCTGCGCTTCAGTCCGGCATTGTTGTCAGCCGAAGCTTTAGTTGTCGGGTAAGCTTGAGCTCCAGTAGGGGCGTTGCCGCTGATCTGACTAAGAGACAGGATGCGGCGTTGTGCTGGATTGGCAGGTGCACCGTTGCGACGTATAGCAGGGCGGGGCTTGAGCGCAAGAGAAAGACCATTCGCTGCGGTGCTGGGAGGTGGCATGGCCCTGGTGTCTTCATTGGCAGCGTCTGCGTTCATGCGCTTCTTGAGTTTCGAAGTGTTCTTCGACCCGCCCTTGGTCATCATTAGAGCACGTGAGTGGTCCATGATGCCGTTCAGGATGCGACGCTCGAGTGCATCAGCCTTGGTGTCCATGAAGTGCAGCTCCTCTCGTCGAATGTCAAGCGCGGTGTGCAGAGACGAAACCTCACCAGTAAGGCGAACCTTCTGGTTGGCAAGATTCTCGCGCTCCGCTTGCAAACTGGCGACAGCAGCAAGAAGCGAATCTTTCTCCTCCTTGAGCTCAGCCATAGTGCGATCCTTCTCTTCTTGCAGTTCGGCCATGACACGCTCCTTCTCTTCCTTGAGCTCTTGTACGACGCGCTCCTTTTCGGCCTTCATCTCCTGGATGTCTGCGAAGAGCTGTTCCTTCTGGGTAGCCTTCTCAGCTCGCAGGCTTTCCAAGTCGACTTCCAGCTGCTCCTTCTGGGTTGTCCTGCGCTCAATGAGCAGAGCCAGCTCCTCAGCTTCGCGTTCCTTGGACTCGTTGCCGTCGGTGATGAACTGCGTCTGCTTGGCGACGAAGTCACTCAGCTCTACAGCAGTCTTCTTGACTTGAGCATGAATCTCGTCCAGCTTCTCCAAGTTGCCCGCTGCTTTACCTGCTTCATCGGCATGACCAATGAGCTTGTCAAGCTTCTCGTGTACCGCGCCATCATCGTAGCTCGGCGCCGGCTCGATCGCAAGCAGCTTGTCGAGCTTCTCTTGCACGGGTGCATCGTCGTACTTCTCGGGAAGCTCGATAGATGGTGTAGGAGCTGGGAGTAGTTTGGGCAAATTGGCAAAGTGCGTCTGCAACTCTTCAGAACGGGCCTTGGCTTCCTCGTTCCAAGCACGGACATTCTCGTCTGCCTCCTCCTTGGTCTTCTGTGCGTGCTCATAGTGAGCCTTGACAAGAGCTTCGATCTCGTGCAAGGCAACCATGAACTTGGGATGGTACTCCGTAATGTTATCCTGGAGGTTGGTGAAGATGTTCTCGACGTTCTTGATCTCGTCACGGGTGTGAGAATGCTCCGTCTTGTCGTCGAGCTTCTGTTCTTCAAACTTGGCAATGGTGTCGTTCTTCTGCTCTTCAAGCTTGGCGATAGTCTCAAGCTTCTGCTCCTCAAGCTTCTCCATCATCGCAAGCTTCTGCTCTTCGTACTTGGCGAGTGTCTCCTCTACCTTGCCAATCATAGAAGCAGAGTCAGTTGACCATTGGGTGGTGGTGCCTTCCATTCGGTCGTTCATTCCAGCAATGGTGGCACCCAGAGTGTCGATGGTCAGACGAAGCTCGTCAGCCGTTGCCCTGTTGCTTTCGAGGATCTTCTCTTGTTCCTCGGACTTCTCCTTCATGACCTTGGCAAGTTCGTCCGCCAAGAGTTGAGCATCATCGTACTTGGCCATGAGAGTGTTGAACTTGTCCTCTAGGCTTTCCGTGAAGCCCGCGATGATCGCGGCTTTGACTTCGTCGTGCTTCTCGAGGTGAAGCGCAGACTTCTCCGCTTGGTCATTCTGGAGTCCCTCGATAGATCCGTGGGCGCGCTCGAACTCTCTAGTAAGAATCTCCATGAGTTCCTTGACGTCAGCGGTAACGTTGTTGGCACCAATGGTCTCTTCCAGCGTCTTGAATGAAGCCTGAAGACCCTCGATGGGACCGCCTTCGATGAGGGTTGTCTTGATCTCCTCTCGCATCTCGTCCAATGCAGTCTTGACGCCGGTGATGTCCTCCACGAGTTGAGCAGCTTCAGCGCGGCGTTCATCAAAGTTGGTCGCGGTCTTCATGATGTCCTCCTCGTAGGTGTCCTTCATCTTGTCGTGGCTGTCGCGGAAGTCGTGGATCAGACCTGTGAGCTGTTCCAAGTCGGCCTTGGATGGGAGTTCTTCAGGATCTGGGATCTTCATGTCGTCAATCTTGACCTTGAGATCATCCACAAGCAGAGTAACGGCATCGATATCTGCCTTGGTCGCTTGAGGGTTGGCCTCGTCGTCAGCCTTAGCAGCCTTCATCTCGTCGAGGGCAACCTTGATATCGTCGGCGATGACCTGAATGACTGTCACGTCTGCTTTGGTAGCACCTTCCTCCTCGAACTTCTTAGCAAGTGCCTCCAAGGCCTCAGATGTTGTACGGACAACGATCTCGACATCCTCCAGGTTCTCCTTGGTAATGGCAGTCGCAGGGTCAGGCAGGACGAGCTCTTCAATCTTGGCCTTGGTGTTCGCAAGAAGAGTCTCGATGGCATCGGTGTCTTCCTTTCTAGCGATGCCTTCAAGTGTAGGCGGTGGCGTTTCGCGATCTTGCATAAGAAGAACGGCAGCTTGTACATCTTTCAGAAGCTCTTCGATGCCGACCAGATCCTCCTTCATGGCAGATCCAGCCACGGCGGCTGCAGGCTCGGATTCCGGCAACGGGTTCGCCCTGGCGGCGTCCATCGCTTCGACCTTCTCCTGGATTTGAACGAGCATGTACTCCATGTTCGCCAAGTCGGCGGTTTGCGGAGGTAGCTTTGGCGATGGTGGTAGCTCCGCCTGTGTCGCTTCCTCAACGATCTCACGCGACATCGATTCTCCCGCAGCGTCGTTCGCGAGAGCGATCTCGTTGCCAGCTGGAGGAAGAGGGACGTACTCTTCAGCGTAAGATTCTTGCCTTACGCCCTTGAGCATGTCGATGTCGTCACGCAACGCGTTCAGACCGTCCTTGAGCGTATCCAAGATCTCGTATGATATGCTCATATCGATGGGCTTCTCAGCGATCTTCGAAACATCCGCCCTTAGACCATCTAGACCCTCGTTCATTGCATCCATGATCTCGCTGGTAGCGGAGTTGTTGCGGTCGGGGGTGTCCAGCTTCTTGTCCAGATGCGATTGAAGGTCATCAAGCCCCAACTTGAGAGCTTCCAGGACTTCCTCGGTGTCGGCCCGGGCGTGTTGTCGGGTCACATTGTCAGACTGGCGAAGAAGTTCTAGCTCTCCACGGAAAGCCTCCAGAAGCTCCTCGTTGACACCAGCAGACTTGAGGTTGGCCTTGATGTCGTCCAGCGCAGCCTTCACAACCATCAACATCTCGGCCTTGCCATTGTCACCAGATGGGACAAGTGCGTTGCCAAGTGACTCTTTCAAGGCCTCCAACTCGCCACGGATGAGTGCGATGTTGTCCTTTGACGTAGTCTCCTGAGAGGTGTGCAGACCGTCGATGAGCTCACGAACAGCGTCAACGATGTCGTCCTTCTCGCCTGCGCCGCCAGACTGCACCAGTGAGCCGCCCAATGTTTCGCGGAGATGCTCGAACTCCTCTTTCAGAGTAGCCAGCATGTCGTCATTGGATGTAGTCGCAGTTGGCTTCTCGCCCATAAGAGTATGAAGTCCCTCAAAGCCTGCCTGAAGCTTCTCCAGGATATCGTTCTTGTTGCTGGACGTGTCACCAAGCAAGACTTCCTTGAGCTCATCGAACTCGTGCTTGATCGCTTCGTTGATGTCGTCGTTCGAGTCAGTGTCATCCTCCGATCGAAGGGCAACCTGTGACTTCATCTCGTCGAAGCCGGCGTTAAGGGCGGCAAGAATCTCTTCGTTGTTGTTGGCAGAGGGAGCCAACTGAGTAGTGAGCTTTTCATGGAGGTTCTCAAACTCAGACTTGAGGTATGAAACCATGTCGCCACGGCTCCAAGCCTGATCTCCACGTGGGCCTTCGGCGACGTAGCCCTGAACATCTTCGCGTAGCTTGTCGAGTTCTGCTTTGATGTGGTCGATCATCTCGCCGTCCTGGGTGATCTCTCGGGGCTGATTAACAGAGCCCTGAAGGTCGGCACGAAGACTGTCAAGTCCTTCGCGGAGGGCTTGGAGAACTTGCTCGGTGTCACGCCCGTTGGCAGCGGTGACACCTTCGAATTCGGTGTGAACCTCATCCAGCATCGCCTGTAGACGTTGCATGACAGCCTCGTTGTGAGGTTGTGAAGCGGTCTGGACAGCCTCTGATATGGATTCCTGAGGAAGGTCGAGTTCCATTGCTCCAGGTTGGTGCTCCGCGAGCGCCTGGCGAATGACTTCCTCGAGCACTTCCCGAGACAAAGCATCCGTCGACGGTTGCTGGGCTGCAAGGGCCGGCTTCAACTCTTCCAACGACTCGCGCACGGCCATCAGAACCTCCTCGCGGATCTCGTGTACTTCGTTGACGGGTGGAGGTAGCTGGATCTGCTGTAGTGACTCCTGCAGCATAGTCTCAATCTCCTCCTTGGTGACGGCACCAGAACCGTTGAAGTCTTGGAGACCTTCGCGCAGACACTGAAGAATCTCGTCACTGCCCAATCCGACTTGCTGCACTTCGTGGCTCGGGTTCATCTCGACACCATCGAAGGCCTCTCGGACAGCGCTAATGATCGACTCCTTGTCCACTGCAGCAGCTTGAGGTGTTGGCTGATCGAGACCACGCTCTGCAAGCGCTTGCTTGACAACATCGTAGACCTCGTTGTTGTCCACGGTGGTTCGGGTGACGACGGATGACATCGATTGCCGCCTTCGCTCACGCATAACCTTGTCCATGTGGTCCTTGAGATTGGCGAGACCCTCTTGAACGATGGCGTTGATGTCTTCGGTTGATGGGCTTGAGCCAGATCCGGCTTCGGCCTCCCTGGCTTGTTCTGCCTCCTCCACCTTGCGCGCAAGCTCCCGTCCCATTCCTAGAACCTCACCACGGAGATCCTGGATGAGCGACTTGGTGGCCATCGTAACGCATCCGGACTCAGCGACACTGTCCTTGATCTTACGGAGGAACTTGAGCATCTCCTCGCTCACGAAATCGGCAGCCTTTGGACTGGAATAGGCCTTGCTGTCGGCCGATATCGTTCGAGTCAAGGCGCCAGATCCGGGGGATGGCTGGAATGAGGCCGAGCCAGCAGCTGCGGGATTGAAGAGACCACCGGTTGAGCCTTGCTTGACAAATTCGGCCAACTCAGTAACCTTCTTAGCAGTCTCTCCAGTAGCCTTGTCGACCAGCTTCTGTAAACTTGCGACCAGTCGCTCTTGACCATCCTTCGTCACCATTTCGCGTATGATCTTCTCCAGCATTGCGACACTAGCGGCACCCTCGACAGAGTATGGGTTGGGGCTACCTATACGCTCATCTGTCCAGGGGCTGGTGGACGCCATACGCGGGAATGTGAATTGCTTCGTCGGTGTCATGTGAGGATCTTGCAGGTTGAGACTGCTAGAGCGAGAGGTGTCTCCATTCATGGCAGCTGCCGCTTGAGCTTGCTGCTTTTGCGACATGGTAGACAGAAGATCCTTCAGAGACTTGCGGATGTCCTCGTCGCGAGTGTTGGTGGCTTCCTTGAGGCTGATGAGATCCGTCGCATTGTCTTTGCTTCGCCGGCTCAACTGCGACATGTCTTTTTGCAGGCTGGAGACGATGTTGTTGATGCTCATGAGCTGGCTGGAGATGTTATCGAAAGACTGTGGCGGTGATGGACCGTGTACGGGTCCCGATGCTGGCGCTGCCGCTGGTGTAGCCGCTGGCGAAGAATGTGCCGACCGGTTTGTGATGTTCGATAATGGAGGATCGAGCATGTGTTGGGGGATGGTCATGCTCTGCAACGCCTGCATGGTGGCCGATGGTGGTGTGTTCTCTCCCAAGATTGCCCTTTGGCTAGGCCGTAGGGCGGGTGTGTCTTTGATCTCGAATCGTGATGCTGGTGTAGGTGTGAGCTGTCGCATAGGGCTCACATCGGCATCCTTTCCAAAGTAGTCCCTCTCGTAGTCCCTTGAGATGGGTCGGCCTCCCCTGCTCGATGGTCGCTCGCGTTCGGGTGACCGCTCCGGCGACCGGGTATCGAGGAAGGGCCGCTCAGGTGAGCGGTTGTCAAGGTAGCTTCGTAGGTCACGAACGCTGCCCGGCTGTAATGACTGCATGCGCTTGTGCTGTGTGCCTTTTATCAGAGAGCGCTCGGACGAGGGCAGCTTCTGTGGCATGGGGTTAGTAGTGTATGAGCTCGCAGGTAAACTCTCTCGCGCCTTCTCTTCCAGCGCCTTGGCCGCCTTCATAATGGCTGCGGATGTGTTGGGGCGGGTGGTGAGAGTGGGCGAGCCTGGGTTGAGAGGCAGTGGCGGAGGTGCACGATCCGGGTCAGCACTATCCCACCTGAAGCGCAGTGTTAGTCTATCGCAAAAGTTACATGGCGGTGAGGAAGACGAACATGGGAATCATCCTGTCTGATGAGAACGAATGTGAGTGTCTGACGAGTTCGCGGTCGCGGGAGACCTCTCTGTCTGAAGAAGGCATTGCGTGTGTCGTCTGATGTGTATTCAACCAAATATAGTGGTAGTGAGGCGGAGAGTGGGAGCGAGTATGATATGGAGCGCGTGAGTTTCAATTGGGGTATACAGCGGAGGGATTGATCGTGAAAAGCTATCAGCGATCCAGCGCAGGGTATATAATAGTTCGTGATATCGTGGAGGGTGGGAGTGTGGGAAAGTGGACTGCAGGTGCAGGGCGGGCGGTGTGTTGATCAATAGCTTGGGGTTTGTTTACGTGCACTGGCCAATAGGCGATGACGATGGAGGCGCGACTGCCAACTCAGCCGTCGCTGGGGCAGCAGCGGCGGCAATGGATGTCCCCGGCTGCGATGATGCGCCAATGGCATGCATAGAGCGGGATAGATTGTGCAAACCAATATTAGGGCGAACGTATTCAGGAAATGTCGCGGTCCCTTGCTATAGCGTGTTGTTGACCGAACTGCGGTTGCCATGTGCCCTGACTGGTGTGGCGCAAAGGTGTGGCGTCGCTCCCAATCGGAATTACGTACCGCCTAACCACCGACCGCCGCATCTCCAGGTGAGCTTGTGAGCTCAGCATCGCCAAACAGTTCATCTCCGCCACCCCATCACCCGCTCCACTTCACGACTCGTGCACTTTAATCACCTTAAATCACCGCGTATACCCTCACGACCTGCCCACCCACCATGGCTGTCCCGGAAACGAGCTCGCGGATAGCGGAGGCGCAGAAGCTGGCCAAGTCGGATCCCTCCAAGGCCGAGCAGATCTTCAAAGACGTCCTGTCGCAAGACCCAGGCTCGAATGAGACGGCCATCAAGAACTATGAGAGCGCGCTGATCGGGCTCGGTGAGCTCTACCGCGACCAGAAGCGGGTGGACGCGCTGGCGGAGCTCGTCAAGCAGGCGCGGTCGATAATGTCATCCTTTGCAAAGGCGAAGACATCTAAGCTGGGTAAGGAAGCGAATTCAGATTCCAGTTCAAACGCACATAGCTAACGATCGCAGTCCGACAACTACTCGACCTATTCACTGCCATCCCCAACACCGCCGATATCCAGATCGATGTCACCAAGTCGTGCATAGAGTGGGCCGTGTCAGAGCGGAGAGGTTTCCTTCGCCAGAACCTAGAAACCCGACTCGTGTCCCTGTATATGCAGAAGCAATCCTACTACGAAGCCCTCACACTCATCAACAGCCTACTGAAGGAGTTGAAGCGCTTGGACGACAAGCTGGTCCTGGTGGAGGTTCAGCTGCTCGAATCGAGGGTCTACCACGCATTGGGCAACATACCAAAGGGTCGCGCTGCCCTCACTTCCGCACGAACATCGGCTGCCTCGGTCTACACTCCGCCTCTGCTGCAGGCTGGTCTCGACATGCAGAGTGGCATGCTGCACGCAGAGGACGGCGACTTCAACACCTCCTTCTCCTACTTCATCGAAGCCATGGAGGGGTACCACTCACAGGACGAAGAGCAGAAGGCTACTTCGGCACTCCAGTACATGTTGCTCTGCAAGATCATGCTCAACCTCGGAGACGACGTCACCTCGCTCATGACCTCCAAGCACGCTGTCAAGTACGCAGGCAAGCGGTTAGAAGCCATGAAGGCCGTAGCGCGCGCACACACCAACCGCAGTCTCGAAGAGTACGAAACCGCCCTGACCGATTACCGCCAGCAGCTAGGCAGCGACCGATTCATCACCTCCCACCTCCGACGCCTGTACGACAACATGCTCGAGCAGAACCTGATCAAGGTCATCGAGCCTTTCAGCAGGGTAGAGATTGACCACGTCGCCAAGATGGTCGGTCTCGACACAATACAGGTTGAGCGCAAGCTCTCGCAGATGATCCTCGACAAGGTCATCATCGGAGTTCTGGACCAGGGTGCCGGATGTCTGATCGTATACGACGAGTCGGAGCGAGACCAGGGCTACGATGCGGCGTTGAGTACTCTCGAGAAGCTGAGCAACGTGGTCGATGTTCTTTACACCAACCAAGCTTCTCTGTTGGAGTAAGGTTTGGAAGGGGGATTTTGACAGCTCCCGAAGCTATGTACAATAAAAGCATAGATGGTTAGGTATGCTACACGTCCAATGCGACTAGCTAATAACGATGACACATGACATGGCAAATCTTCCGAAGCAATTGTGCGCCCAGAAGTGGTCTTAACCTCGGTTTGCCCAAAAACAGCAGCATAACATCGCGCAGCAGTCACATTCCGAGCCGGCTACACATCGGCAAACCACCATGTCACCCTTGCTTCCTTTTCTCGAATAAATTGTCGTGTACTATCCGGCATGGGCAAGGGCAGCCTTACCGAGCCGACACTATACACATCCCCGTCTCATTCGCCCATCCTTGGCGATCTACACCCACCTCCATAGCAGCTCCACACAAGAACCACATAGCATCCCCAGATAAATTGGCAGTCACAACCAGGAACCAGGGTTTGATTTGGAATCACGGAGATAGGAGAGCGTAGGACGAAATATGGAGAATTCTTCACTGGCAATGCGAATTCGAATCGTGTATAAAGAGTACCGCATCCATCGCACGTATCTTGGTCATCCAAGCAAGCCAATTCTATCGCCTCCTCTTCTTACTTTGCACCTCTACTCAGCTTCATCATGTACTTCACCGCCGTCGCCGCAACCACCCTCCTCTCCCTCATCCCCACCGCCCTCTCCCACGGCCTCATCACCTCCCCACCCTCGCGTCCCACCGGCCCTGAAATAACCTCCCTCTGCGGCCCCGCCATAACCCGCACCATAAACGGCGACAACACCTCGCACGTCGAGGGCCTCCCCGAGCTCCTCCTGCCCCCCTACACCGCCTCTTCCTGTAACCTCTGGCTCTGCAAGGGCCTCCAATTCGCCGACAACCCGTCCAACAACACGCAGGTATGGAGCGCGGGCCAGGTCGTCCCCATGAAAGTGTGGATCCGCATTCCGCATGAGGGATCCGCCAACGTGAGTATTGTGGATACGAAGAAGAATGAGGTTGTGGGCGAGATGTTGAAGGTGTGGGAGGAGGGGTATGCGCCCGGGAAGAGCGAGGCTGATGTCCCGGCGGGGCAGAAGGAGTTTAGTGTTAAGGTACCTGAGGGTTTGGAGGAGAGGTGTGCGAAGGCAGGGGATTGTGTAAGTTCTCATGGGTTAAGTAATCTAGAGGAGATGCTAACAGAGTGTAGGTGCTGCAGTGGTGGTGGTACGGAGTAGCGGCTAAGCAGACATACGAATCTTGTGTTGACTTCAGAATCACGAAGACGAGTGCAAAGAGGGACTCTTTCGGTCGTGCATTCAGAGGATGAGGAATACCGCCTGTGGGCAGCGGTTCGTGGTCTAGGTTGCGTGAAGGGTTGGGAGTTTATATGTAGGCAGTCATGGTTTGTTCAACTACATAGTCGACCTATTCATGATTGACTACACGCTATCTCTTTAATCCTGAGCCCTTCTCTTTCTCGCTTGCATATTCACAACCGCAATGCCCAACAGCGTGCCGCAGAAGAAACACACCATGATGGTCGCTGCGACCATGGTACAACAGTAACGCTCGCTCTCTCGCGTGCGTCTTGCTTCTGTCTGCACGTGGTTTTCGCATACCTCGCAATGCGTGTGTGGTTCGGGGTTTGGTCGAAGGAAATTAGTGATGGTCTGAGCCAACGTCGCAGTGTTTGACGTTGATGAAGAGGGGTTGCCGGACGAAGTGTGGTTATGGGGTTCAGCGTGGAGTTCGATGTCGTGGTCATCGGTTTGGGGTACGGTCGTGTACTTTGAATCGATCGATGGGTTAGTAAGATTGGAGGATAGTGAGACGGTGTGGTAGGAGGGCTTACGGCTGATGCTGATCCAGAGGGCGCGTATCGGTGCACGGGATGGTCGTGCAATACCTCTTCGTAGGCGGGTGCTGCTTCTTGTGGAGTGGTAGGGATGCCCATTTTCTTTCACAATTCGATAACGGTACCTATTTTGTGGGAAGTAGATATGCTCTGATGAAGTAAAGAATAAGTAGTTAGTCGTAAGATCAAACGTGCGACAGCAGCATTGTTATGTCCATCAGCCAGCTGCTGCCGCTTTGCCGGCCATCCACAAGTTGGCAACTGGATGTTGGATGCCTGATGAGAGAATGGATGCTACGAGGGGGCTGTAGAGGCTGTGCTGCCAGCGGGCCAATGAGATCGGTGCATGTTCATGAATTTGCGGGGCTGTGTCAGCTCGCAAGCCACCGTTGTGGTTTGATCGGGAATAAGCATCATAGCGCTGTTGCTTGATCAGATAGTTAGCCAATGACGACACAAATCTGGGAACATACTCAGCCGCATCCTATGCTTGGCCACAGATTTGACTCTTTTCGGAAACATATCCACAGATCAAAGGATGATTGAATTACCGATACTCATTCATAGTAGATGTTGTAACAGTCTGACGAGTCCCTCACTGCGCGACCTTGATGACAATCTTACCAGAAAAGTTGCCTGACAATTGAAGATCAAAGGCCTTCTTCGCGTCCTCAAACCCAAACGTCTTGTCAAGCATGACATCAAACTTGACTTTCTTGTCCTCAATGCACGCATTCATGTCCTCGAAATCCTTCTTCGATCCTACAGCGATGCCTTTGAGCTTGGCGCCCTTACCCATCAGGGCCATCAGCTGAGCTGGCTTCCAATCCGCCTCCCAGCCAGCGAGGAAGCCGACTAGCGAGACAGTGCCGCCGCGAGCGCATAGGTAAGAGATGTCATCGATAAGGGAGCCGACGCCAGTGTTGTTGACTACGAAATCGACGCCGCGGTCGTTTGTAAGTTCCTTGATCTTGGCAGCTTGGTCGTCGGTCTTGTAGTTTAGGCCACGGACTTTGTCGCTGATCCGATCTTGAATCGCCTTAATCTTGTCGTTCGAGGATGAGGTTATAATTGGGGTGATGCCACCGGCGAGACAAAGCAGCAAGGCGAACATGGAAACGCCGCCGGTGCCTAGGAGGTATGAGTAAGAGAGTGGGGAATCCGTGATCTTG